TTCCACCCTTTTAAGCTTCCTTTTAAGTGAAAGTGCCACTACAGAATTTGTTTAAAATTAAAGTCTACCAGGAGGTAGTGATATACTAAAAGGTTACAGAAGATTTCTGGCTCAGCTTCGGTATTTATGGGCAGCACAAGGAGGGTCAGCTCACACCCTGCACTCCATGTTGGCTTTAGTCTCAATTTTAGTTCCTTATCAAAGTGACCAGCAAGCCATCAAACGGGTTTTATAAATTACTGGTTCATGTGATGTAGTTTCCAGAGCCTTGCTCGTACTTTCTTTCTTCTAGTTTCCTGAAAAAATACTTGTGTCGAAGACAAGCCAAGAAACACCAACACTGCAGGGCCACCATGGGCACTGGGAAAGCACATGGTGGGCACACAAACCAAGGAACCACCACTCCTGAAAAATCCATGGATTCAACTCTGCACTGTGTTCACTGGATTTTCACGGAATAATCAGAGTTGAGATTCTATAACAAGATTGTCTTCAAGTTAAAATTACTATGAAAATGTGTTTCTCCTCAACAAGATCTTCCCAAGAACAAACCTGTTACTTTTAAGATGAGCACCTCAAATGAAGATCTAAAGCCACTTTGTCTGTGCTCTTATAAGATTCCTGAAAAGTAAATGAAGACATCTTGCAAATGGGACACTGGTCAAGCATTTTCTTCTTTAAAAATAAAGTTAGATAAAAATAAAGTTGGTTAAATAGTTTATTAGTTACATACTCTGTTAGTTAAATATTTTATTAAAAAATTTAAATCTTCATAACCACCATCCTGTCTTCCTGAGCCATGCAGCCTTTCAGGAACAGCAGCTCCACAACCGCTTGCCATTGCAAAACTCCAGCTGCTGATCCTGTGCTGACAAGGCACAAAATCTAATATAGGGCATTAAACATGCTCAGCTGGGCAACACCCAGTTAAAGGCACATCGAGGGGAGGATGCAGGCAAGGCTGTACCAGCCTGGAACTCATCCCTACAGACAAATGTGTTCCAGAGAACATTCCACAATGACCACGGTCTGCTGCCCGCTCTGCCCACAGCTGTAGTGACCATCCCTCTCCAAACCAAGTCTCCCCCAGCCCCTCACTGCTCAGGAGAGAGAGTTTTCACAATCATTTTTGCAGGAGTTCACAGTGTGTTTTGCAGGAGATCACAGTGAACAGCTTTCCCCACACGTGGCATCAAAATACATACATATGCACTTGATCTCCTTGTCTTCTCCCACATGGCTTGAGGTGGCCGAGATGCCAACATCAGATTTCTTGAAATACACAAAAGTGAGGTTTAAATTGTTTTCTTCTACTCAACAGCATAAAGGGTCAGGTGGCAACGAGCTTCTGAAGCACAGCACCTCCCAAACAGGAAGAGCAGGGGAAAAGCAAAGACTCAGTTCTGACTGCACAGGAAGAACACCCCACACTTCTCATGGAAAGGAGTTGTATTCATTATCTGCACCTGCCCCTGTCTGAAGGAAACCTCCTGGCCCAAGTCAGGCAGAAGCAACATGCAGGAACTGTAATGGTCCACACTGCTCTTCTTAAGTGACTTCTGAGGCCACAGGGAGGAGAGGGTAGAGCCCAACCCCTGCTCAGTGAGGACACTTTGCTCAGTCACTGTTTCTTTCACAAAGTTATCAAGTTAGATTTGAAATCAGAGAGGGTTTTTTCTCTTGTTGCTTTCCCCTTTGTTCTAAAATCCTATCCTTACAGTTAAGTTCAACAACAGAACCAAAAGTATAAGCAACCAGCAGCAGGAAACAGCCTTGAAGAAGGAAGGAAGCCTCATGCAAATATCTTGTTACAACAGAGGACACAGAACCATCACACGAGCTTGTAGTACACAAGCAGCTTTTGCAAGAGGTTTGCTGCATTATTTCACATGCCTCATCCTGGAGGAGGACTCTCCTCTCTGTTTTTACACACAGCTGCCTGCATGCAAATATTAACTGATTTCTTAAACCCTTCTATTGCTGCCTGTGGATACAAATGCAGCCTCTTTAATCGGGCAGGATGGGCTCAAGCCATTATTTTCAGAACATGATGTTTGTCAAGTACCTGCAAGTTTTCCTGCAAAGGAAGATCCAGCCCTTATCCAGTACTGAGTGTGAGCAGCTTTTCTGGCACAGTGAGAAGAACCTGCAAATGCCAAGCTCTGCATTTGGTTTCCAGGGCATCCCATCTTGCACCATCATTTCTCTGGGATGGAAGATGAGACACAGTATCCAGGAGCAGAAAACAGGGGGAACCTGTGCATAATAAGCAAACTTTCAAAACAGCTGAAAAAGGTGGAAGAGGGAAAGGGAAGCTGAGAAGTAGCCACGACCTGAAACTGGGATGTAACATGGGCCACGTTGAGGACCCTGCTCAACAGGGTCACTAGGCATGGATCTGACATAGTCTGGACATCACACACCCACTGGGATTTTTATCAGCAGAAAAATATATCTAAACTGTCCCTGTCCCCTCCTGGTTGCTCATTTCCACCATCCAGGCATCTCCCCATACAGGCCAGTAGAGTATTTTCTGCTGTCATAAAGACAGACATGAACACAGACAAAACAAAACATCCAACAGAAGCATCCAAACGGTTTATTAGCTCCCTCTGGGAAAATCACTTTCGCTACTTTGCCTTGGGTTAGAACTAAGAAGAAAACTACTCTTGAAGGCATTAGCCTTCAGATACTTGTGGGTGGACTGAGTATTCAGTCCACCCACAAGTATCTGAAGGCTAATGCCTTCAAGAGTAGTTTTCTTAATACCCTCTCAGGTGTAAATTATTATACTCCAATTTGTGCAACAATCCTGGGGAAAATGGTTTGGACAAGTAACTATTGCCGGTGTGAATGCTGCTGGAGATTACTTGAAGCTCTCACGTTTTTCACAGTACTGATCACTTTTTTTTCTCCCTGTGAAGTTATTTAATCCTTCAGACGAACCATGGAAGGAGAAAGGGAAAATAAAAAGGGGGAAAAAAATCTCTACTTATATCTGAATTTAATTCCAGAGAGTTAGTTGCTTTCAGAGAAAGTCCTCCCAGCCACTTGACATTTTGTACACTTGGATACATCAAGCAACACCCACCATGTGGACTCACGGCTTCCCAAAGGGAAGCATCCTGTGCTCCCTGCCATGCAGCCAAGTCACGGGGTTCGGAAGGCTCCCGCTGAAGCGACCTCACCCCTCGCCAAAGCCTTTCCCCCCCCTCCCCCACATAACACGTTTAGAACCCAAAGCGTTTCTCTGCCACATCCATAAGGATTTGGGAGCCCCATGGCGCTGAGGTACCACGGGGCGCTTCGTCTCCCTCGGCCGGGGGATCGGACACAACGCACGGAACCTGTTCCTCGGGGCGGTTGTCTTGTGCTACATGTGCTACATGTTATCTGTTAGATGTGTCATGTGTGTTATGTTACGTTTCCCTGGACACGATCCCGCCCCGTCCCGCCCCGTCCCGCCCGGTCCCCGTCGGGGAGGAGGCGATGGCGCGGGGCAGGAGCGACGGCCGCAGGTGGGTGCCGGGGCCGGGCGTGGGGAGCAGAAGCAGCCCCTCGGAGCCCCCTCGGCCGCCTCCCTCCCTCCCTATCCCTGCGGGGAGCAGCAGGATCCCGCCGGGAGGGCGGGGGGCAGCGCCCGGGAGGAGGCGCGGGCAGCGCCGGTCCCTCCGTGCGCAGGGTGCGGGTTGTGCCCGCAGCCGGGTCCCCACAGCCTGGATGGTGATTCCGCGGTACAATATATGTTATTGTTATTATTATTACACACTTACCGAGCGGGACCCTGTTCTCGTGCAGGTTTCCTTTTCCGCGGACAGGAGCGCAGCCTCCGGTACGTGAAGACGAAACATGGACGGAATTAAGTCGTTCTGTGAGACGTATCAGGTGTTAGAGGATGCACTTGAGCCGATAAAGAGTGAAGCGCTGAGCCCAGGTAGGCTTGTAAATACGTATCTGTGTATCTGTTGATACTTCTCAAGCTGTACTGCCAAGGACTTCTAGTTGCTCCAACTCTGCCTTTCAGGACACACGAACTCAAACGTGCACTAACTCCAGTGTTCAATGACTCTGGCAAGTGGGTGACAAAACACAGCTGCCTATTTAAATCCAGCGGATAACACAGAGCCTAGAGAGGCAACTCCTCTTTACTTCGGCTCTTCTCTGCTCTCACTGAGGTCACTGATGCCATCCTGCTTCTTCAAGGAAAGAGAAGAAAGCATGGAAAGCTTTGTCTAATTTGTCTTGCTGATTTACATGAAGCCATCCTGTGTTCATTTTCCTTAGGAATTAACATACAGAAAAGAGTTACCATAAGGAAACTTACGGAAGTCCGAAGGAAAACCAGCTCTTCTGAGGTGTCTGTCATTGTAGCACTCACATTGTTTAAAGGTGAACAAAAAAGGCCAGTCACTAATGAAGCCTGTGTGTTTTGGATTGCCTCGGAGTTCCAGGACTTCCGAAAAGGATGGGCTGCATTGATGCTTTTTCTGCTTTTAGGACAGTTCTGCAGCCTGAATTTCTCACAGGTTGTATGAGCATCACGAACTGTGAGGCCACACTGCGATATCTCTTGTACAATTTCTGTAATTGTCTAATTTCTTCAAAATGTGTAGGAGCTCTGAACCTCCATCCCTCTGCCCAGCTGCACAGAAAGACCTCTATGCTTTCTAAAGGAAAGGAGCACAGTCACCCTTATTTCCTAAACCTTTCCTTGGGACAGTAACTAGAAAAGTAACTTATGTCTACGTTGACCTTGTAACTCTCAAAGATGTAATTTGAAGAACATAAAATTTAAACACTTGTTGGCAATTTAATGATGTGTTAGTGAAGTTATTTACTCTTAAGGAGCCTGGAAAACTCAGAGTAAATTGGGTACTTGCTATGATGGAGAATTAACTAACTGGTAGAGGTACCAAGAAATAAATTTTTTTTAACTTTTTCCTTTTCAGAGATGAAGCACTGTGCCCTGTGATGCTTTTTGCTGTTTTCACCACTGGAGGATGGCTGCCAGACTCTGTGAAAATGGTTCTGGTCAGTACCACTGCACCCACGGCAACCAAACTCTTGAAACCAGCTGCGTGTTGCTCCTGATCATGCTCGGAAAAGTCTTCCTTGATTTCTTCATGTTGCAAGTTAAGCCAAAAAACGTGAAAGCCAGTTTTATGGGATACTTTTGCATTTCAGTGGCACTTCTCGATCTCACGCTGCTGCTGATCTTCTGTTTCATTTTCTGTTTTGAGGACTTTGCGCTCTGGGGGATGCGGTTCACCAGGTACCACATCTGCCTCTTCACCCAGATCACCTCTCTCACCTGCGGGATTCTGCACTACCCCGTGTACCTCGTGGCTGCTCTGGACTATTACACCACTGTCTCCCAGACATCCCAGTTCTCTAAAAGAGGCCAGAAATTACTGTACGTGTTCGCTGTGGTGGTTATATGGATTTCAGGATTTTTCTGTATTCTGAAAGTTCCCGCTGTCTATGAAGAGCTGGAAATTCAGAAGAGTGTCTCTCCTTACCAGTGCCCTGTCTCTGCCAGCCTGCAGAGCTACTCAGTCTCGTGTGCCATGGTGCTGCTCCTGGGCACTGCTCTCCTGGCTCGCTGGAAGGAGGTGGTGACCACCCTGCTGTCTGCCAGGCTCGTCTCCATCTCCAGTCAGCCTGCTTTGATGTTCTCCTACACGTCCAACACCACCACCTGCTTTAAGTGGCAGCTCCTGAGCAGACTCCTCATCTGCTTCCTTGGCACTTGGGCACCTTTAGTTGTTCTCCAGGTCGTGGTTGTGTTCCTGGGAGCGCGGATTCCGGCCTACGTGGACATGAACGTGCCCTGGCTGTACTTCATCAACAGCTTCCTCCTGGCAGCCGTGTACTGGTGCCGGTGCCACGAGGTCGAGCTGGCAGAGGGGACGTGGAGCTCAGACCCGTTTGTCAGCTGGAAATTCTGCTTTGTGCCGTTTGACAATGAAAACACAGAGCCAGCTGATGAGCCGGGTGTGGTGATTGTCATCTGTTAATGAGCTGCTGGCTGGAAAGGCTGCAATAAGTGTGGGCGCTGAGGTTCTGTGGCTGGGTCCTTACAGACAACACAAGGAAACAGCTCCAGAGCTACACTCCATGGAAAAAAGTCCAATATTGTAGTGAATGTTGCACTGGAGTGCAGGACTCTGGTCCCAGTGCACTGCAAGCACTGTCAGTTCACAGGATTCAACCTCAGATTACATGTTTAAAAGACCACTGCTTATATAAGCCCAGTTTTCTGTTAAACCTCATGTTTATGACAGAATTTTACATTTCCTTTACATGGAATGATCTCAGGTTTTACAGTACAAAATGCAATAAAGTCTTCAAGGCGAGAGCTACATACAGGTGCTGATCCAAAGTTCAAACAACTTCTGTGATTTTTTTGCAGTGTATTTTCTTGTTAAAGTCTGGCTTTGTGTCAGCTTGATTGAAGTTAAGGGTCGTTGTCTAACAAGAAATAAATTTTTTTAGTTAATGTAAAGCTACAGCTCCTACAGAAATGGAAACTTTACATGGTACAAAAACAGTGCAAGATGTGCAACTTCCACAGCCACAGCAGAGGTGCTGAAGCTTCGCTGTTTCTTTGCTGCTGCTCCTGTAATGTATAAGTACATATTAAAAATTAAATTACTACAGTCAGAGATCTAAGCAACAAGGTTAATTGCTATATATAAATACATGCCCAAGGCTAAAGAATGGCTTAAATTAAAATACAGTTTATTTTGAAGTCAAAATTACTTTAAAATAGTTAAATATGAAGGGTGACTATGGTAGGGAAAGAATTAGTCAGGCTTCGAGCAAAAATACTCTTAATTTCCAAATTCTTACCGTTTTATAAACGACTTGGTTTAATTTTGTAGAAGAGAAATAAATGATATGCAACCAAAGCAGACAAATGAAAGTAGCATTTATTTCTGAAGCACTGAACTCACAATACAATGTTGTATTGGAAGAGAAACTAAATGATGCTGTAGGTTGGTTAATCATTCCCCCAGACCCACAGGGAACAATGATTTCACACAAGAATACTCATTAAGAAAACTCTGCAGATAACAAAAGGTGCAATTACAAGCAAGTTTAAGCAGCATAGTATAAGGTGCTTTGTTTCAGCATTTGTAGGATGGATTTACCCATTAACAGACAGATTAAAGAAGTTTCACTTCTACAGATCATAACAAATGAGAGAATCTAAAAATCATTCACATGCTAGTTGGTAATAGGAAAGTGCTTCTTAAAAATGACTCACAAAGTGAAGATCATACTTTTACATAATTCACTGTGTGCTCTTCCACTGTAAAATTTAAATTTTTGGGTTATAATTTACATTATTATATATCAATTATAGAGATAGATTTAATTGCAGAATTTAACACTATGTGGGCTAAATTTTCTTATAAAAGAATATTCCAATATTTCACTCCATAAGAATACACAATCACATCTGAATCATAAATTAATCTTACATTTCTGAAACATATTAAAGTCTGATTATTTTCTTTTATTACTTCACCCCACATAGTGCTTCTTTCACCCACAGTCTGGGGTAAATTTCTTTGAGGCTTCCATGATGTAATCAAAAGGACACAAACATTTTTCAGGAGTAGAAAGTGGTTTGGGGGGAAAATCTGTTAAAAAGGCCATCAAAAGGACAGTAAGTGATCAAAAACTGAATTTTAAAACTAGTGCAATAAGAGGAGGCAACACTTAGCAACATATTTTGAAGTGTTTGGCACCACAAATTATTTCATTTTTTCTGCTGGAAAACGTACTTGGAGGAAATTCTACTTCCATGTTAAAAGTGGGAAAGCACATACAATGTTAACTGGAAAAACAACCTTAAGCAATCACTCCCTGCTCTCTCAAACTGCAATTGCTGTCAGTGCAGAGATGCTATAGGATAACCATGGCTAAACACAAGGTTTTGACACAGCATTTCTTCAGGTTTTATATAAACTGGACACCCACTGAAACGGGGCTGACAAAATATTTACAAAACCTAATTCCATTTAAAAACCAGCAAATACCTCAAATACAGTAATGCACCAGGCATTTCAGAAGATAATGAAATAACTAATTCCTACAGACTAGGCAGGCAGGGAAAAATTCCTTTAAAATTAATTTAACACCAGATGAAGGCAAAGTTATTTTCCAGTCCATTTCAGGTGTGTTTAGCACGGTCTCATGGTCTCTGATTCACAAACATACACAGAACTGGAACTGCAACAAGCTGGGTGAGGCTGTTGAGGTGTTTTATTTATCAGTGTGGTTCAGCTGCCCAACCCCTAATTACAGTTCACACAACATGGCAGAATTGCCAGAGTTGCTGCAGTGCTCCTAAAGCCATTTGAAGTTTTTAAAACTCTGGTTTTTTTTTCCACGGGGAATCCACAACATGCAGCCAAAACAAACATTAATGGATTGATGTTACTGTTAAATTTATTCTTCCATACTTTTAGGGGAAAGTGCCAAAGAGCATCAGCCTTTAGGCTGTTGTGGCAGCAGTGGCACTGCAGCTCTCCACGTAGCATCCACTGGGGCGTCTGAGCCCGAGTTAAGTATTTTAAAACATATTCATGGTACCTCTCTTTGTAAGCCCACTTCCATCCTCGTTGTTCATGGAGGGAGATACCGGTTGTGCAGTGATCTCCATCCTATTTATTGCCTTCCTAGCAATTATGGCTTTTCCTCTGTGCATTTTCTTTTACACCTGGTGCCTCTGGGCCGTCCCAACACTGATCCCTGGATCCAGCCATGCAGCCCTGGACCATGTTCCTCTCTAGAACAGGGTGACAGTTTCACTGCCAGGAAGGACAGAAACTATGCCAGGATGGTGGTAATACCTGAAATAAAAGAACTGCAGACAACCACTGCTGCATCTCCTCTGTACATCAGCCTTACACATTTCAAATATTTTACAGCCTTTAATTCTTATAGGATTATTTGATATTAATGGTAAGAGCAGCCAAAGTGTTAACCCTTAATGAGAAACTTCTGTACTTTCCTCATATAAAGAATGTCTTACAAATCAACACTGATTTTAATGAGATATTCTATGTCTTTTCAACTCTGAGTGTTTGGCACTAAATGATAAAACCCTTCATCTTTACACCTTTCCTGATCAGTACTGGTTTGCTCACTCTGTGACACAAAGACTACTTAAAAATGAAGCTGAGTGTGCAGAATCTCTTACTGTTCTTTCCAAAAATGACTTTGCAAAAGGCTGCCAGAGGATGGGAATATCCTGGCAAGGTAGTGGAGGACAACACAAGCCTTCCCACAGGCTGCCTGGGCTTCATCCACAGGGCAGATATACCTCAGGAATCGAATACATCTCTGCTTGGAGCCTAATCCCATAATCAGCACACATACCCTCATTTAGGACTAGGAACAACACTACAAGCCTCTCAACAACCCTATGAACCAACACAGTGCTTTTAAAACACAATTAGAATGCTCCTTAAGTGTTATGTATTGCACTTAAACATTATGATCACTATTCTATGAATGTACAATTGTGCTCAAGTTATAATTACTTGAAGAGGAAAAATCTTTTTAAGTCTCTTTTTTGTAGCTCCTTGCTGTACAGAGTTATTTTGGATAATTTAGAAGGAATATATGCTGGAAGTTTAACATTTTTTAACTTGAAAACTGTTCACAACACTGACTCCCAGAACCACACTCTGGAAAAGTTAGATCCATGGCTACAAAAGCTGGAATATGAGCTTCCTATATACCTGCAATGAAAAACATCTTCACGACTTTGAACTTTTGCTTTTTTCCTTCCACATCACTGTAAGGGATCAGTAAATACTGCACACAACCTTCAAGGGAATGAGCAGGTGTGTGGGGATTTTAATGCTGAGGTTACACAAACCTACACAGCTTAAGGTGGGGCCTTGAGCACATGTGAAAGTGCTGACCACGAGACCCAGGGGATAAAGCAGGACACAGCTGGCACTTGTCTGGCCCATAATCACCACCTCTTGTTTAAATGTCAGTACTTGCAAAGCCATCCAGGGGATGTAACTACATGGAACCGATCAGGTCTAAATAAATTCTCAAGACTAAAGGCAAATTCTTTTAAAATTAACCTATTTTAGGGTTATCTTAAATGAGCTAAGCATTAAATGAGTTTATATTTCTTTCTCCTCACAATATTTCCTGTCTCAAACTGCAGCCCACTGAGCAAGAATGACTTGAAAATTAACTCACTACGAGCAACTAACAGCTTACGTTGAAATTACTCATTTATAGCTCTGCTCATACCTGTTCCACTCAGCATTGAACAGAAACAACGTATTGAAAACAAAATACTCTGAAATGTTAGTTTGTCTCCATCTCTAATAAACTAATTAAGTTGAACATTACAAAAAAGTACCCCAGATTGATTCTTTTGCAGAGTCATTATCTGCAGCCTGGAACAATCGATGAGTAGAAGTTTGGTTAATGATAACAACTATATTTCTAAATATATGCTAACAGGACATCTCTATGCAATACTGGTGAGAAAATAACCCTGCAAGCTTTTTTATACATGCTTACTTTGAATGAACTTGAATAGTCTCAATAGAATCAGAACTACTCATGTTATAAATTATGTGGATGCCTAATTATTTGCAAAAAGGGGACTCCTAAAAAAGGTGTCACTGAATTCTCTGATCACTCAGAGCTCTACACTTGTCAGAGTGTAAGAAATCGGTTAAGCTGTTGAGCTGGAAGTTCCTGCAATGATACTGTGATATTAAAATGAGAACAGTCACAAGTTTTAGCTGGCATGCCAGGCAGTGACACACTACACCCAGTCCAGCCTCATAAGAAACTTCATTCAACCCACACCTTTCCTAATGTTTCCTCACAGCTGTCACAGACCTGCTCGAAATACTTGGGTTTATCCTATTCCTTTCCTCTTGCTGCCACATCTGCACTTAGGGTAGACTCCATTTTTCTATTTGAAAGGCTGGATTACTAACTGTGATTTGTCCAAAAAGAAGTCAGGGGGTAAAAAAAAATATTTTCACAGGAAAGAAATGAGGAAATGGATGTTTGCAGGACATAAACCTTCCGTTTAAGATATCTCATGGATAAAAACCTAGCAAAGGTT